TATCTTTCTTTCCCCCAAAGTCAATATATTATTTCATTCACCTAGTAAACTTTTATTTACCATTTACTATACCCGAGAGACTATTTTGGATATTGAGAAGGTGGTATTGAGTAAAATGACAGTGAACCTACTCTTTTAGGATTAAATTCTAGAAGAGAGAGGCAGGTGTTAAATGACTAAACAGGATAAAAATGAGTGTTATGAAGATTAAAATCAAAAATAGAGAAGAGTGTTATACAATAAAAATATTCAAGGGGAACTTCTTTAGATGAAGTAGACAAGGAAGTCTAATCCAAGCAGGAAGTGTGTAAGCTGAGCCTTGAGAATTGTAAAGAGTAGCCAGCCATGTGAAAATCTTCAGAGAGAATTATACAGGAAGATAAGAAAGCAAATGTAAATTCTTCAAGGCATGAATAAAATTGGTCTTTGTAGAAACAGCAATAACAGAGATGTGCCCAGTGAGTAGTGAATGAGGGGAAGGTAAAAAGATGGCACTGGAAAGAAAGAGCAAGATTAGGTCAGTAGTTATGAGATAATGCGAATTTTGAATTTGATTAGTAAGGGTAATGAATGGGGTAAGTTATCTCACACCTACCCTGAGATAACCTTGAGCCTATCTTGAGCCTACATTGAGGCTTTCTCAAGTTCCTAGGAGCATCACCTTATAGGCATCACCAAGCTCAAGCTTCCGTTTTCTCCTTTGTGAAAATAAGAGTGTCAATTAACCTACACATTCTTTTCAAGGATAAATGAGAAAACACTTGATGTGTAAGTTATTTGTCAATTTAGAGGACCAGATATATGGGTACTATTTTTAGCATTACGTTTTTCCTTTTTCTAAACTGAATATTTTGATTTCTCTACTCTTCATTATATAGATATTACATAATCCTCTGTTTCTTCTTTATCCTGGTGTCCCACTATAAGAACTAAAGTAATTAGGGTAACCAACAGTGTAATTCCAAGCATTACTTTGCTTTGTGGTCGTTCAAGTCTGCCTCAGACTTACACAAAGAACATGGTAGGGTAGCCTATGATGTCTGAGAGGGAGGAAAGAAAAATTTAAAGCCACCTTTATCCTGTATCCAGAAACGGCATCCTCTTTTATGGAAACCTGACACATTCGCACTGATCTTACAGACCACTTTGTCCATTTGTATAATGGGGATAATAGCCTTCTAAATTAATTGGATGAAATCGCTGTGAGGAGGAGTCCTGAACTTCAGGTACACAAGGTAATACCAATACTACCCTGATCCCTTCCCCACAAAGTTAGCAAATTGTCGCTTAATGGATTTGAAGCTACGGATACCATTTAGCGTCCCCACAGCAGTAATTTATTAAATGGAACCTGGTGTCATGACCATGATATTCCAATGTAGCACCTGACCCACAGCAAAGTATGCTTTCTTCTCTTACCAATGATCTCGGGAACGTGGAATAAGGAAAATGAAAGATAAAACAAACTCCAAACTTACAAACGCATTAAAAAAGAACTTATATTTTAGTAACAATTTCTCTAAAAATAAAAACTTGCATACTTATAAGTTACAAACAGTGACAAATTTTATACGTACACATTTAGAGCATCTCTAATCCCAAAAAGCTGAAATCCAAAATACTCTAAAATAATTTTTTGAGGGTCATTGACCCTCAAAAGCTTGAAATACTCAAAAAGTTTGAAATGCATAATGTTTCAGAACATTTGAGATTTGGGGCTTTTTTAGATTAGGGACACTGAACCAATATATAATGCAAATACTCCACTATCTAAAAAATTCTGAAACCCAAAACACTTCTGAACCCAAGCATTTCAGATAAGGCATACTCAACTTGTATGAGATTTTATATGTATATACATTATATATATATGATAGATCCTTTATCCAAATTCACTCCCATCTATTAGAAATCTTTTATCCACCCACTAAATAAAAAATAAGAACATATGAAAATAGAAAATGGAGAATTATTAGATGTGTGGGAGATTCTATTTTAGTCCTATGGAAAAAAATACATATATGAAGCCATTCCCCTTCTGCCAATCAGATTGTTTCAAATGAACCACCAGCCAACTAAAAGCAGGCTTCACTGTCCCTCACAAGACTCAACATATTCCAGAAGGGAGAAATGGTGATAGCCATTATTTTTCTAACCCAAAATAAATTACGCAGAATTTCTGCCTGTTTTATGATAGAGTACTGGGTTTTCAAACTTGCAAGTCAGTTATTATATTTATCGATACCCCTGTTTCTCCATCACCTTGTTGTGTAGGTCACATAACACACGTTACGGTGCAGTAATAAGCAACTCTAAAATGTCGGTGGTTCAACACACAAACAAAAGCGCATTTTTTTGCTCATGCACACATTCCTGTTTTTCTGAATTCCAGTTTATATCTAGTGAATGAGGCTCTGAAAAACTCTATGAAATTGTCACTGCACCATTTGGAGCACACAGCGTCTTCAGCTGATACATCAGGGGAAGAGAGTGCTGGAGGACCTCACATCAAAATTTAATGCGTGACTGGGAAATAATACACAACCTTTCTGCCCACAACTATTTGCCCAGAACTAGTCAGATGGTACTGCTATGACCAACTAGCAGGGAAGTATGCTCCTGCATCTCAGAAGAGGAGAACCAAATACTCTTAGGTAGTAGAAGTGTCTACTAGAGGTAGTGATTGTGTAGTAGCTGTTTTACTAAAAGTAGTTATTGAAGAAGTAGCTATTGTTCCACCTTTGGAACAATAATCCTCGCAGATTCTTTGAATACCTTCCATGTCTCAGTCTCTCCTTTTTCTATCTTTATTTTTCCTAAACATCATTTTAAAGACATAACACATACACCATACTCTGCACTCATTTAAGGTGTTTTTCAGTATACTAAGAGTTGTGTAACCATCATCGTAATACAATATTAGAACTTTTTCATCAATCTGAAAAGAAACTCTGCGTTAGCAGTTAATCTCTGTTTCTTATGTGACCATCACCACCCCACTTCTCACACCCTAGGAAACATCTCATCTGTTTTGTGTTTCTACAGATTTTTTTATTCTGGACATGTAAAATAAATGGAATCATACAACATATAGTCGTTTATGACCAACTTATTTGATATACTAACATGTTTTAAAGGTTCATTCATATTGTTGCCAAGTATCCGAAATTCATTTCTTTTAATTATGATTGAATAATATGTCACTATGTGGATATAACCCATTTATTTACTACTTAATCAGTTGATGGTCCTTTATATTGTTCCTATTATTGACTATTGTGAATTGTTTTGCTATAATCATTTGTGTATGAGTTAAAATGTGGACATATACCTTCATTTCATTTAGGAATATACCTACAAGCAGAATTACTGGATCATATAGTGTTATGGTTTGGTTGTCTCCACCCAAATCTCATCTTGAATTGTAGTTCCCATAATCCCTACCTGTTGTGGGAGGGACCCAGTGGGAGGTAATTGAATCATGGGGGCAGTTATCCTTATGGTGTTCTCATGATAGTGAATGAGTTCTCATGATATAGGATGGTTTTATAAGGACTTTTCCCCTTTTTGCTTGGCACTTCTCCTTGCTGCCACCATGTGAGGAAGTGTTTGCTTCCCCTTCTGCCATGATTTTAAGTTTCCTGAGGCCTCCCCAGCCATGCTGAACTGTGAGTCAATTAAACCTCTTTCCTTTATAAATTATCCAGTCTTGGGTGTGTCTTTATTAGCAGCATGAGAACAAACTAATACACAGAGTAACATCATGTTTAATATTTTGAGGTACTGCTAAACTGTTTTCAAAGGGGCTACTCAATTTTACAGTCCCATTAGTAGCAGATGAGAGTTCCAATTTTTGTTCATTCTCTCCAATACTTGTTATTTCTAACTTTTTACTATAGCTCTACTAGTGGGAAAAAAGTAATATTTCACTGTGGTTTTGATTTGCATTTGTTTAGCAATTAAAGATGTTGAGTATTTCTTCTGGCCATTTATATATGTATATATTCTTTAGATAAATATCAACTGAGTTATGTTACTCTTTTTTAAATTGGATTATTTATCTTTAATGATGGAGTTGTGAGAGTTCTTTATACATTCCGGATAGAAATCCCAGTCTCTTATTCGATATAAGATTGTAAATATATTCACCCATCCTAAGGTTTATATTTTTACTGTCTTGATAGTATTAGTTGCAGTACAAAAGTTTTAAATTTTGATGAAGTCCGCCATAGGTTTTGTTTTATGGGTGTTTTTAGTGTTATGTCTAAGAAACCATTGCCTAGCCCAAAGCCATGAAGATTTACTCATGTATTTCACGTGAAAAGATCTGTATTTTAACTCTTACCTTTTGGTGTATGGTCCCCTTTGGGTAATATTTGCATATGGCATGAAGAAGGGGTCTAAATTTATACTTTTGCACATGGATAGCCAATTGTCCCAGCAAAATTGTTGGAAAGTCTGTTCTTTCTCCGTTTTATTGTGTTGGCACCTTTATCAAAATCAATTGGCCATAGATGTAATGGCTTCTTTATGGATTCTCATTTACATTGATATACATGTTTATTGTGTACCACTCTTTCTTAATTACTATAGCTTTGTAGTAAGTTTTAAATCTGAGAAGTGTGAGCCCCCCAACTTTGTTATTAAATACGAATAGCAAAGTCGTTATCCTTTCCATTAAATATGAATTTAAAACTTGGCTTGTCAATTCTGGGAGGAAAATAGCTAGCTGAGATTTTTACAGGAATTGTGTTGTATCTATAGATCAATTGAGGAATACTGGCATCTTAACAATTTCTGATTAATTTCATCTTAACAAGTTCTGATTAATTTAAGTTCTGATTAATTTCTTTCCTTTGTGTTTTATGGTTGTATCAGGTTTTATTGCTGCTGTAACATTTTACAGCATACTTAGTGCACTTAATAACTTAAATCACACAATGTTTTACAATTATTTTACATTTTTGTGTGTTTGTTTTTTAATCATTGGTCCATTTCAGTGTCACAGGACTCAATGAAGATGTCAGCATGCTACGTTTCTCTCTGAAAGCTCTGGAAGAAAAGCAGTTTCTTTGTCTTTCCCAGTGTCCACAAGCTGCCAACATCCTTGGCTTATAGCCCTTTTCCATCTTCAAATCCAGCAATGGTGGGTTGAGTTTTTCTTTCTCACATTACATCACTTCTACCTTGACTCTTATTCATTCTTCTGCTTTCACATCTACAAACCTTTGTGATTACATTGGAATAATCAGATAACGTAGGATAATCTCTCTATCATAAAGTCAGCTTACTAGCAATCTAAATTCCTCTTTGCGATGAAGCAAAATATATTCACAATTTCCAGGGACAAGGAGATTATCTTTGGGGAAGCATTATTCTGCCTGCTGCAGTAATTCAATGTACTTGTCTTTCACTCTTTGTTAAACTCATCCATAAGTATATTTTTCTTTTCTGTAATATTGTAAATATAAATATCTTTTTAATTTGTTTGAGGTTATTTATTTATATTACTATAAAAGCAATTGATTTCCACATGTTGATCTTGTATTCACTCATGTTGCTGAGCTTGTTTATTAATTCTAATAATGTTTTAGTGGATTCCTTAAGATCTTCTCTTTAACAAGATCACATCACCTGAAAATATAGAAATTTTCACTCCTTCATTACAAATACAGATAACTTCTATTTATTTATCTTTTTCTAATTTCCCTGACTGAAACCTTTGCACAATGTGAACAGTAGTGGCAATAGTAGTCATTCTTGTCTTGCTCTTGATTTTAAAGAAAAAATATGATGTCTTTCACCTTTAAGTATGATGAGTATGTGAGATTTTTCATAGAAAGCATTTATCAAGCAGTTGACTGTTCATATTTTGTAACAATACCCTGGGGGTGTAAATTGCTCCACTATCTGATCCAATTAAATAGGGACTCTTTTAAAGGGGAAGGGTGCTGAGGCTTTGAGGTTGCTCAGACCTCAGGGAGGCTTTTTTTAGCTGTCTCTTTCCCTGGTTTTCTCTGGTCATCTTCAACTGCTCTACCAATTCCCCTGTTGCTGTAAGATCTTGTAGCTATCAGTCTCCTTTTAGTTGCTCACCACTAAGATATCTATTGTTTTTGGCAGTGCTCTTGGGCATGATCTTTCCCATACTGTTTTAAATAAAGCCAGTGTTGTTTGGGAGAGTTATATTCATGTCCTATTGCCACTGTAACAAATAACTGCAAACTTAGAGGCTTAAATAACAAGTATCTATTCTATTACAGTCTTTAGGTAAGAGTTTAAAGTCAAGGTGCTGGCAAGGCTACGTTCCTTCTGCGAGTTCCACTGGAGAATCAGTTTCTTTGCTTTTCAGGTTCTAGAGTCTATTAGCATTCCTTGGCTTGAGGCCTTCTTTAACCCTCAGGTTTCCATCTTATAAGGACCCTTTTCATAACAATGGAACCACTCAGGTAACCCAGGATAATCTTTTCATCTCAATAACCTTAATTTAATCAGATTTAAAAAGTGTCTTTTGCCATGTAAGGTAATATCTTTGCATGCTCTGTGTATTAAGACATGGACATCATTGGAGAAACCTTATTCTGCTTCAGTTGTGAGGTTCTTTGTGCTTCAGTCTTATCTCTTTCCATGGGCAGAAAATCCATGTCATTGGATGAGAAGTGGCCCACTTCTCCTGGAATAGCAACCCTGATCTCAGAGGAGATTTTAGACCCTAGTCTTCCGTGCTTGTCCCTCCTCATGTGGAACTTCTGCCTTACAAGCAAGCCATTGCAGACAGGTGCATTCAGGGCCAAGGATTGTTTACCTGATTCACCTAGAGCAGAGCCTTCACCCTGAAAGTGGTGGCTGTATCAGGAAAGAACTCTGGAACAGAGTTATCTATAATCTGGAACTGAGACTATTGCCAGGGGTTCCTTGCTCCCAGAGCTCCCAAGATGGTGGCAGGCCGCTTCCAAGATGGTGGCAAGCCTCTTGTTCTCTGACCTGGGGTTCTTGGCCTCACCGATTCCAAGGAATGGAATCTTGGGCCATGCAGTGAGTGTTATAGCTCTATTAGAAGCCGTGGGTCATGGAAGAGAACCATGGAGCCCAGCAACTAGTATTCAGCTTGCTTAGGATGAACCCGGGCACTTAGCCATGCAGGAACAATGATGAGTCTTTAGCCCGATTGGGAGTGGCAATGGGCACCTCACTGGATCAGGAGCACAGCGGACACCCTGCCAGATCCAGAGGGGTAGAAGTCAGTGGAGGGCCTGCGATGGCAGCAAACAGCAATGGTGAACGGTGAGTGAAAGCTCAGCTTGAGCTGTAAGAAACACGGACCAGAAGAGTGTGCAGTTGTAAGGTTTAATAGAGTGAAAACAGAGCTCCCATACAAAGAGAGGGGACCCAAAGTGTATAGCTGTTGCTGGATTGAATGCCTGGATTTATATCCTGATCATTGTACCTTCCCCCTTTTGCTCTCAGGTGATAGACTGGCTATTTCTTCACCTCCTGTTTTTGCCTAATTAGCATTTTAGTGAGCTCTTTTTACTACCTGATTGGTCGGGTGTGAGATAAGTTGCTAGTCACCTGTTTAAAGGTAGATGCAGTTACCTTCCCAGCTAGGCTTAGGGATTTTCAGGTTGCCTAGGAAATCCAGCTAGTCCGGTCTCTCAGTACTATGAAATGTGCCTCTGGCCTACCCTCCCTGGTTTAACTGCAGTCTTCAACTGAAAATTTAGTGAAGACATAGCTCCATGTTCTTGGTAAGCATGCCTGGAGTATAGCTCCCCTCACACTCAGTTGGGGAAAAGAGGGAGTGGCATGAGTGGATCATGGATCAAATGCCAAAGCTCACTGTTCTTACCAAGATTTAGTAGATTTTCTTAAGTATATTTTTCCTCTGTCTACTGTATGCCCTTAGGACTATTTTTGGAGACTTTGAATGCTTTTATATGTCTTATTCACAATTTTCAGTGGTTAAGTAATTGCTTCACTGGCAATAGTGCCCACCACGCTTTTCCTGTTGCCATTACAGAAGTTTTTCTCTAATGTACCCTTTTATGTTGTGACAAGCTATGATTCCCTCTGCCCTACAACTCCCACTCACTCCAATGGAATGGAACCACCCATTCAGGAGATGCCAGAGACATTATTACCAAAGTTGTTTCTTTAGAAAATTTGTTTTATTTCCATAGGTTATTGGGGAACAGGTGGTGTTTGACTATATGAGTCAGTTCTTTAGTAGTGATTTGTGAGATTTTGGTGTACCCATCATCCGAGCAGTATACACTGCACCCAATTTGTAGTCTTTTATCCCTCACCCCTTTCCCATCCTTTCCCCCTGAGTCTCCAAAGTCCATTGTGTCATTCTTATGCCTTTGCCTCCTCATATCTTAGCTACTACTTATGAGTAAGAATATATAATGTTTGTTTTTCCATTCTGGAGTTACTTCACTTAGAATAATACTCTCCAATCTCATCCAGGTTGCTGCAAATGCCATGAAGTCATTCCTTTTTATGGCTAAGTAGTATTCTATCTCATATATACATATATGTATATATGTATATACACACATACACACATATATGTATCACAGTTTCTTTATCCACTTGTTGATTAATGGGCATTTCGGTTGGTTCCACATTTTTGTAATTGAGAATTGTACTGCTATAAACATGCATGTGCAAGTATCTTTTTTTGTATAATGACTTCTTTTCCTCAGGGTAGATACCCAGTAGTGGGAATGTTGAATCAAATGGTAGTTCTACTATTAGTTCTTTAAGGAATTTCCACATTATTTTCTCCATAGTGGTTGTACTAGGTTATATTACCACCAGCAGTGCAACAGTGTTTCTTGTTCACCATATCCACACCAACATCTATTATTTTTTGTTTTTTTATGATAGTCATTGTTGCAGGAGTAAGGTGGTATCACATTGTGGTTTTGATTTGCATTTCCCTGATCATTAATGATGTTGAGCATTTGTTAGGTTTGTTGACCATTTGTATATATTCTTTTGAGAATGGTCTATTCATGTCCTTAGCCCACATTTTGATGAGACATGATCAAGAGAGTTTTATAGCAGGAATGCTGGGATGGTTTAACATATGCACATTAGCAAATGTGGTACACCACATAAACAGAATTAAAAACAAAAATCACATAATCATCTCAATAGACGTAGAAAAAGCATTTGACAAAATCCAGCATCCCTTTGTGATTAAAACTCTTAACAAAATCAGCATACAAGAGATATATCTCAATGTTATGAAAACTATCTATGACAAACCCACAGTCAACATAATACTGAATAATGGAATATAATCCTCTGAGAAATGAAACAAGACAAGGATGCCCACTCTCACCATTTCTCTTCAACATAGTACTGGAAGTCCTAGCCAGAGCAATCAGACAAGAGAAAGAAAGAAAGGGCATCCAAATCAGTAAAGGGGAAGTCAAACTGTCACTATTTGCTGATTATATGATTGTATACCAACAGAACCTTAAAGACTCCTTTTTAAAAAATTGTATTGGGACGTGCCTTCCATATGTTCACTGACAGATTGTAAAAAATCCATGTCCAAGATCTTTAAGATGAAGCTACAGAGGAAAACACAATGATTTTTTCCCGCACTTCACATGCTGACTAACTCAAATCACTGTTTCCTGATGTCCGCCCTGAATTATGTTATTTTCGTATGCATGCTTCTTTTCCCTGAGCCAAAGCTCATAGTTTCTTTGCTCCTTTTAAATTTCACTTTGGGTCTTTAACTATATTGTCTCTATTCTGTCTTTATTTCTTCCTTTTAGCACTTCCTTTCTCTACTGTCTTATTAAAATTAAATATCCTCTCTATCTGTAATTTACCTCTTATTTATTTCTCATGTTCAAGGTTTTTGCATAGCAATTAATTATCAGGTAATCCTGAAATTAGGATTGTTGATGTCCTCGTAATTCCAAGAGGTTTTGAGGTACCAGGTGGGCCCAGAGACTCTGAAATTTACTCCAGTTCTATCTCTTGTTGCTAACCTCCAATAGACACTTGACATACAGTTCCTTGCCTTATTTATCATTTTCTGCACTGATACTCTCATACAAGCATTTCACAGGGGTTTAAAAAGAAAGGTCAGGACAGTAAGGAATGAATGTTGACTTCAAGGAGAACTCAAGAGATAGTTTAGAGAGCACAGAAGCTTAAAAAAAACAAAACTTTTTCAAAGGGGACTGATTTGATAAGAAAAATAATAGAAGGGTGGGTACAGGGAATAATAAATTTAGGAGATTCTTAAATGATTCAACTAATCTAGATGAAATAGAAGAAGATTGAGGAGAGGTTCTGGAGCCTAGAATATTAGGCTCTGGGATCTCAAATTCTCCCTCTCAGCTAAGTCTTTTTATTCCATCCTTCCCTTCCTCTTGTCTCCCAAAAATATGTCACAGAGATAGAAATAAACAAAGAAAGGTTAAGAATTGTACTTAAGCATAGTGTCAGAATTTATCTTATGGAGGAGACTGTCTTTTGATTAGCAAAACAAACTGGCATAACTTTTTAACTGAAAAATAAGCTTCAGATTATTTCCTAGTCGGGTGGGGAACAACCTAAAAAACAATAAATAAATAAACAGAATACATTGCTTAATAAGCAACAGGAATAACAATAACTAGCATTTAGTGAGGTCTTACTATGAACCACATATATTTACAGGCCTTACATATGCAACAATTTATTTAATCTTCACCATCCTGTGAGGTAGGTATTTGTAGTAGTCTCATTTTATAGATGGAGAAGATAAACCATAAATTGATTAGTAACTTTCTCAAGGTCACCAGAGTAATGATAGGCAGGGATTTGAAAACTTAGTATTCCTCCATTCTGTCCATAGCAAGAAATATAGAAAGATCCTTGACCAAAAGATGGCTGGGAAGAGAAGTGTGGGAACCCTAATAAAAAAATAATGGAGGAGAGCTGACCTGAATCAGAGGAAGACAAATGTGGAAAGATGACCACAACTGGAACTTAGCACATGGAGAGAGAGTCAGCTGGTGAAATTCTGTATTCACCATATATATATATATATATATATATATATATATATATATATATATTTTTTTTTTTTTTTTTTTTTTTTGAGATGGAGTCTTTCTCTGTCGCCCATGCTGGAGTGCAATGGTACAATCTTGGGTCACTGCAACCTCCACCTCCTGGGTTCAAGTGATTCCTCTGCCTCCGCCTCAGCCTCCCGAGTAGCTGGGATTATAGGCATGCACCACCACACCTGGATAAATTTTGTATTTTTAGTAGAGATGGAGTTTCACTATGTTGGTCAGGTCTGGGCAAAATGGCAAGACTGACTCTACAAAAAAAAAAAAAAAAAAAATTAAAGAAAAAAATCAGTTGTGGTGGTGTTTACCCATAGTTCCAACTACTCTGGAGACTGAGACAAGAGGATCGCTTGAGCACAGGAGTTTAAGGCTGCAGTAAGCTGTGATCATGCCACTGTACTCCAGCCTGAGTGACAGACAAAGACCCCATCTCTAAAGAAAAAATAAAATAAATAAATGTATAAAATTTGACTGTGGTAGATGATTTGAACAATGAGTTAGGGTGTGACTAAATCAGGGTATAAAATAACACTTTATTGGTGTTTTGGCTAGATATTAAGAAATCTATTTTTCCTTTCTCCACCACTTCTTTCCCGGAAAGAAAATATATGCAGAGCATGAAAAATTAACCCTTACATATTATGCAAGATTTTAGGTGTAAAACTCCACTATAGAAACTGGTAATTTCACCTAAACCATTTGGTAGGCTCCTTTCATGTATACCAGGAAGGATGGAATTTTACTGAGAAAAAGTTTTTAATAAGATAAGATTAAGGTATTTCTCTGCCATCACGAAGCCCGACGGTCAGGTATAATCACTCTGAAGCAAAGAAAGTCGAAGTCAGAGAACATTTGCTGGCACCTATGTTCCTTGTAGGTGGGAGGGCAACCAGATAATTTATCCTGTTGCATCAAATGAGATGACTGGAGCCGTCTGCTCTAGACCTGGTCTTCTGAGACAGCTGACTTGGACCCAGCGGCATGTCAAAGGACGGAGGGAGGAGGCGACAGAGAACATACACAAATCACCAAGCTAGAGAAGCCTCAAGTATCCTCTCTTAAATGCATGCAAAAGGAATCCTGAAAAGAATGAGAGAAAGATAAATAGTCAAGCCTGCTTTTAGACCACACAGACATGTGCTAACCTGTTAATGTCCTTGAAATCTTTACCCCTAGAAAACAGAGTACAGTCAGTGCCATACACTTGGACCAGCTTGGTTTGTGACTCACTCTCCCTACTGGTGGGAAGTAGAATCATGACCAGAAACCTTGATCTTAAGGAGATCACAAAAACAAAAACACAGAACAAAGATCAAGAACAAGGGGGGTAAGAGCAAGAAAGACTCAAGCATCCCCCCCATAGTAGAGGAGAAAGTTACAAAAGAGTAGAGGTAATCCTGATGCCCAGAAAATGAGCAGAAGCTGGCTGGAAATCATTCCTTTCATAGTCACTGCCCTCTTGGGCAGCCTGGCACTCCTGGGAACCTAAAGCCCAGTCCCATTTCTTCCACCTGGTTGCATGAAATAGCTCTAACATTTGTAATTATTGCCTAAATTTTCTTAAACTAGCAGAAGCAAGTTTCTACTATAATCTCAATTTGTAAATGGATATAAACTCTTGCTTTTTGTGAGGCTATGCCAGTGGGTAGTGTGATAAAAATGAATTGGCAAACCTGCCTTTAAAAATTAACAGTAAAGAGGATGGGCAGATAGTTAAAAACCACCATGTCCAACCACTGAAGGACTATCATTATCCCCAAGCTTCAGATGAAGGAATTGAGAATCCAAGTCATTCAATACCTTGCTCAGTGTCCACAACAAGAAATTCAGGGTTGAGCACCTACCAGTCCCAAAACACGAGCTAAATCCAGGGGAACCAGGAGGCAATTCCAAAGTGAGCAGCTCCCTTGGCACTGCTCCTATCCAGAGTCTTTGGACCATGGATTCAACATCCTTCCATGTACTCAAATCTCTTTATTTTGGAGATACCTTTAGAGAGCAAAATGACAAGTTTCTCAGAGGCATGGCTTATGAGAAATTTAGCTTACCTGGCTTATGAGTAATCAGATGATCCAGTGACTTTTGGGGTGAAATAAGCACTATGCTTAAAATGGAAAAGGTTTCGTGTGTGTAATTAAATGGCCCTATAAGAGTAGCTACAGAAGTTCAATGTGTTTAAATCCACAAGTTCATTAATGTTCTGAAGATAATCTAGGGAAGTCATACATCTGTTAGGTGTGGGGCAAATAGCCCTGGGACACAAAAACCCTGAGATCTAATATTGCCCTGAACCATTTTCATAGGATGACTAAGGACAAGCCATTCATTCTTTCTAGAACTCAGTTTTCTCATCAGAAAATGAAAAGATCAGACTGAATGAACAGTGGCTCCTTGCAGACATGCTAATTTGTAAAACTTTATACTTACATGCTGTTAAAAATGAGGAATGAATTCAATGTTGGTGCAATCTATTTTCTTTCTCTCCTCTTTCTAGAAGAGCACCAGTATGGACCCAGGAAGGACTGAAAGGCAGTAAAGGGCACACTAGGACTCTGTATGAAGAGAGAAAGAAGATACAGCGTCTTGCTATGTGTGATTGTCTTTCTTCCTTCCTATGTGGTTAGCTGCAGTGGTAAATGAGTCCATTACGTCCTGCTATTGATTAATGTGTCCTTGTCCTTGGAATGTCCTTTGCAACCAAAATAAGTTTGTGGGGCAAGAAAACAGAATGAACAGCTCAGGGTGTCTCTATATTATTAGAAAATTTGGGGAGTGTTGTATGTGCCCCATGAAGTTACAGTTGAGATGGAAAAATTGGGAAGATGGAATTACTGGAGAGGATGAGGACGGAAAGGAATAAAGAGTGTGCGGTTGTTTTGCTTGTCTCCCGCCTTATACCGACAGGACCCAGCGCGAGGAGACAGGGAACAAAGAGTTATTTACAAGGTCCTGGAAATTTAGCTTATCTGGAAGCCTGGGTTTAACTGTAATTGTCTGCATTAAGCCAGCTGAGGATACACACTCTTGGTTTCAGAATAGGCCCAAGAATAACTATATTCAAGCATTTCAATTCTTTCCATTATGAATACAACACCCTAGGGCAGGTTTCTAAGGGCCCTGACAACTTGAATTACTGTCTTTTCCTACTTGCCTGCTTGCGACTGAGCTTACAAGGAAATGACTTTAAACAATGTCACACCTCTTTACCCACAGACACAGTTTACAAGACCACATTCGCATTCCAATGACAATGAAAGGAAGAAGCAAAGAACTCCGTTCCCGCAACCTTGGCAAAGTCATTTCCCAGTTCCTGCACTCACTTTCCTTATCGTGGCAAAATGAAGGGCTGGATTAGAAGAGAGAATCTTTACGAATCTTTCCAATTTTTAACTCCATTCAATTCAACAAACATTTGCCGAGTGGATACTATGTTGCAGTCACTGTGCTACACAGCTCCCAGCTGTATAATTTTTGTTTTATTCCATCGAAAACTAGAGTCAGGTAATTTTCATGCAATTTTTAGCACGAAATCACCAGACTGGGAGCCACAAGACCTAGGTTCTGCTTACAGCAACATCATTAAATATTTGTGTGATCTTTACAGTTACATTAGACATCTGGGTTTTAGTTTCATCATCTGTAAAAGGAGAAGGAAACATGAGGGTTATGTTGATAGTTCACAGGCAGTCTGAAGTATTTTGTCATCCACCAGTTTTTTTTTTTTTTTTTTTTTTTTTTTTTTTTGAGTGGGTGTTTTGCTCTCTTTGCCCAGGCTGGATGCAACGGCATGATATCGGCTCACCGCAACCTCCACCTCCTGGGTTCAAGCAATTCTCCTGCCTCAGCCTCCTGAGTAGCTGGGATTACCGGCATGTGCCACCACGCCCAGCTAATTTTGTATTTTCAGTAAAGATGGGATTTCTCCACATTGGTCACACTGGACTCGAACTCCCAACCTCAGGTGATCCAACTGCCTTGGCCTCCCAAAGTGCTGGGATTACAGGCATGAGCCACCACACCCGCCCTCATCCACCAGTCTTATAACTACCATGCACTGAAGGCATATTCTGTGCTAGGCTGTCAGATAAGAACTGAGGATTCAGAGAAAAGTAAATAACCTGGATAGTTCTTTCAACAAATTAGAAGGAGTACTTAGATTTTTTCTCTTTTGATTTTGCCTTATTAGGAAAATCTTCCCTGAGGCATAATCAGAATTTTTTCTCCTCCCTCTTTTTCTTGGAATCTTGAGCATTGCTTTAGTAGGGAGTTATTGTACAGCATAGATCTGGTTAACTTACATTCCTGTCTTCCCTTTCAGTCTGGGGGTCCTTGAGGACAGATCTTGGCCACTAGGTTCTCTGTATTTACAATTCTTATACAGGTTCTGCAACCTAGCAGGTGCTTAATGTAAGTGCTTCGTAGTGACTCCCTACCACTTATTACTCTATTCCAGGTGTCAGTTTGTTCCCAATATACCAGACAGAGACAGCAATTTTCACCAGAGAAGATCTCGATGTGTTTTGTGCTAGATCTGACTTTAATTAAGTGTAAGTTGATTAGTTAACTTTACATTTGTTCATTCACTTGGAATATGACAAAGCAAAGCCTCATTCTCCTTTCCTTCCCATTGTAGGTAGACCATGCTCCCATCAGTGCTGGAATTGGCCCGTGTAACTTGCTTTAGCTAATGAAATGTTACCAAACACAACATGATCAAAGGCTTGAGAGATGATTTCCCTCCTGTGGTTCCGCAATTGCCATGGAAAGAACATGGTCTGGTGGTCCCTGATCCCTAAAGAATGAAAGATACATGGAATAGGCTTGGCATAAATGTGCAGTTTGGAGTCAAGCCCAACCTAGATCAGACAACATTTAGCCAACCTTCAGATTCATGAACAATAATAAATAATTTTTGTTTTAATTCACTGCATTTTGAGATAATTTATTATTCAGCACTTTGATAACGAAAGATGACTGATGTGAGTAGAAAACCATAGCTGAATCACTCCTTTAGACATCTTGAGGCTTCTCTCTCCATTACCTCGCCAAATTCTAGAGAATATATTTGCTCAATAGAAATTGAGAAAACAAAAAATGTAGGATGTTGGGTACAGAGATTAAGGGCACACTCATTGCCTTCAAGGAACTCACAGTCCTGTTGGAGAGGCAGATAAGTAAACTGACGAATACAGTAAGATGTTACATGTGCTTTGATAGGCTGAGGTCACACATAGATGGGCAGTTATGAGGGATACCCGAACAAATCTAGCAGGTAAGTGAACTCACTGAAAAACTTTTAAGAAATGGTAATGTTAAGCTGAGTTTTGACAGATCAGTAAGAAATAATCAAATGTAGAGACAGTAAAGGTGATAAAGCAGAACAAGTAATATGTGCAATCTCTTGAGTAAAAGAAAGCATGGCATAATGAAATATAGAAAATATCTCAGACTTTGAAACCAGAAGGGTAGTGGGTTTACATCTTGACTCCACCACTTACCAACTATACTAATTTGCATAATACTTAGCTTCACTAAGACTCAGTTTTCTTAACTATAAAATGGGAATAATTTTACACTTCTTGCAAAAGTAGCTGTGAATGTTAGATATAACACAAGCAGAAGAAAACGTACAGAGGTAGCTAGTGATGAAGAGGAGGGCAGCAAGAGAGTGAAGAAAAAGAGGAAGGGAATAGAGAGGAAGAAGAGGGAAATAATGCAGTTAAACTTTTCTAGTGCATCAAAGCAAGGAGGTAAATCTCTTGTACACCCTTTAAAATGGCTTTAGAAAGAAATGAAAGAAAATTTTTCTAGCAGGGATGAATAACCAGCAAGCTTTATTTCTGGCAGTGTGGCTCCTACCAAAGCAAACATCTCTAGCTTTCCACAGTGCTTGGAGTTGCACCATGCCTGCTCAGTCAGCTCCTTAATCACCTCTACCATGCTTTGGGAGGGTGCCCCAAGTCTGCTTTGATTGGGATCTTCAAAATTTGGAGCACTGTCATGTGAGGAGGAGATGTGGGGTATCAGAATTTAAATTGTCACTACTCACCGGTGCTACAATGCCGCAGCTTCCCTCCATCTCCGAACACAGCTCTTGTCACTCTGCCCCTTACTCACTAGCTTGCACACGCATGGACCATCCTTTGATTTCTCATAGACACTGAGCTTTGCTCTTCCTCAAGGTCTTCGCCTTTGCGGTTTACTCTGCTTAGAATTTTTCTCCAGAGTTTGCATGTTTGTTTTCCACAGCTGACTCCTAGTCAAAACTCAAGTTCTAATTCCAACAACTCCCCCTCAAAGAAATTTTTTTTCCCTGACAACCCACTTGCCATTATGCATTTCAAAGAGAATTTATATGAAATCATGCATTTCAAATGTACACCTTTACTATCTCTTTCCTATTCATACTCAATCTGACTTCATGAATGAGATTTTCTAAGTCCTGAAGCCTAGAAAAATGACTAGAAAACCATAGGTGTCCAATAATGATTCTGTACACACACATACAGAGAACTAATTGGTACAATGTCTGAGGACACAGGGTCAGCTCAATAAGAGGCTAGTTTATCTAACCCAAATCTTCCTCAAAATAGAATGGGGGATATTCATGAAACTCTGAAGCAGAGTATAAAAGGCAAGAGCACGATCTGGATGGGGGTGAGAGATGAGGCAGGAGATGTCCCAGAGGGTAATTCACATAAATTCTTAACTGTCACATTACTATGTTACTTTTTATTGTTTAGATAACATAGAGTCTTTGAACAGTGTATTAATCAGGACCTTTGTTTGAGAAATAAAATCAATCTAGCTATCTCAAGCAGGAAAATAAATACTTATTATACTACAGCATTCACAGAGCTTCTGAGAGGATCAGATGTCTTGGGATTGGTGTTACACAGCCATTAATAAAGCAGCTAGGACATGACCCTCTGCACACACCATGGGGGTTGTTTAGCAGAAACGCTACTGCCACCACGGCCATCCTGGGCAACTGACTCTACAACTGGGTATAAGAAATGTCAGCAGAGCTGTCTCAGAGTGGGTGATCAGGTTGCTCACTTCAGCTTTCTGGTGTCACAGGTGTACATCTCCTTTGCAGGATCTTGGACCTACATGAAACTTTAGCTGAAAGACTGTCTAGGTATTGTAGCTCTTCTCTTTCAAACCTCTCCAGTGCAGAAACATATGTCAGGAAACCACGAGTGGGGTCGAAATGAACCAGCCCACTCTCTTCCACCAGTCTTATCCTCACAGAACATTAGTCCTGGAGGAGATTCCAGGGAGTTTTGCACTGTGTAGAAGGTGGGAATAGATACTTTCTAAGGTATCTTCCAACACTGAGATTCTTTGACTCTTTGGGGGTCAGTTTCTAGAAAAGAATATAAGTTAAGGGAATGGTATTATTTTTTATTAAATAACTGTCACGTTTCCCAACACTGAGCCAAGGGTCTTGACTATGTTGATTTATAAAATACTCTCAGAAATTCCATCATGTAAGGGATGAAAATTCCATCAGATATTAGTCTGTTCTCACTCTGTGAATGAAGACTTGTCCAAGACTCGGTAATTAATAAAGGAAAGAGGTTTAGTTGACTAAGCATTGCACGCGGTTGGGGAAGCCTCAAAATCATGGTGGAAGCAGAGGAGGAACAGAGTCACATCTTACATGGCATCAGGCAAGACAGCATGTGCAAGAGAGAGCTCCCCTTTGTAAAATCATCATATCTTGTGAGACTTATTTACTATCAAGAGAAAAGCATGGGAAAGACCCATTCCCATGACACAGTTATCTCCAACTGGGTCTGTTTCACAACACATGGGAATTATGGGAGCTACAACTCAAGATGAGATTTGGATGGGGACACAGCCAAACCATATAAAGGACCATCTCTTTTTTTCACTCACCTTCTGACTTCCTGTCCATATATCTTTCCTGAGTTGGGACTCTCTATCCTAAATGAAGAAAAGTTGATTTCCAGAATTCAGAATATGTATTAAGCAGCGTATTTTTTCCTATGGGGTGCAGGGATGTTGGCCTTTAAATGTTAGCACCAGGCCAAGATGGCTGAATAGAAACAGTTCCGATCTGCAGCAAGACCAACACATAAGGTGGGTGATTTTCGCATTTCCAACTGAGGTACCCTGTTCATCTCATTGGGACTGGTTAGACAGTGGGTGCAACCCACGGAGAATAAGCAGAAGCAGGATGGGGCATTGCTTCATCCAGGAAGTGCAAGGAAGTGCACAGAGCCCAGGGACCTCTCTCACCCAGCCAAGGGAAGTGATGAGAGACTGTGCTACCTGCCTAGGGTACTATGCTTTTCCCATGGATTTTTGCAATCCATGGATCAGGAGATTCCCTTGTGAGCCTACACCACTAGGGCCCTGGGTTTCTTGCACAAAAACGGGAGGCAGTTTGGGCGGGCTCTGAGCTGCAGGAGTTTTTTCATACTCCAGTGGTGTCTGGAACTCCAGTGAGATAGGAGAACTGTCCACTCCCCTGGAAAGGGGGCTGAAACCAGGGAGCCAAATGTCCTTGCTCACTGGATCCCACTCCCACAGAGTCCAGCAAGCTAACAACCACTGGCTTGAAAGTCTCAGCGCCAGCACAGCAGTGTGGAGTCAGCCTGGGACAATTGAGTTTGATGGCGGGAGGCGCAACCACAACTACTGTGGCGTTAGTAGGCAGTTTTCCCTGACAGTGCTAAGGAGACTGGGAGGTTTCTATGGAAGAATTCACCACACCGCAGCAAAGCAGAGACATGAAAAGCCCTTCAAAAAAATAAATGAATCCAGGAGCCGGTTTTTTGAATAAATGAACTAAATAGATAGACCGCTAGCCAGAATAACAAAGAAGAAAAAAGAAGAATCAAGTAGAAAACAGACACAATAAAATGATAAATAGGATGTCACCACTGACCCCACAGAAATACAAACTATGATCAAAGAATACTACTATAAACACCTCTACAAAAATAAACTAGAAACTCAAAAGAATAAATTCCTGGACATATACACCCTCCAAAAGCTAAACCAGGAAGAAGTCGAGTCCCTGAATAAATCAATTATAAGTTCTGAAATTGAGGCAGCAATTAATAACCTACCAACCAAAAAAAGCCCAGGACTAGACAGATTCACAGCTGAATTCTACAAGAGGTACGAAAAGGAGCAGGTACCATTCTGAAACTATTCCAGACAATTAAAAAGGAGGGACTCCTCCCTAACTCATTTTATGAGGCCAGCATCATCCTGATGTCAAAACCTGGCAGAGACACAACAAAAAAAGAAAACTTCAAGCCAATATCCCTGATGAGCATCAATGCAAAAATCCTCAATAAAATACTGGCACATTGAATCTAGGAGCACATCAAAAAGCTTATCCACTATGATCAAGTCAACTTCATCCCTGGGATGCAAGGCTGGTTCAACATATGCAAATCAATAAATGTAATCCATCACATAAACAGAACCAATGACAAAAACCACGTGATTATCTCAATTGATGCAGAAAAGGCCTTTGATAAAATTCAACAGCCCTTCTGGCTAAAAGCTCTCAATAAACTAGGTGTTGAGGGAACATATCTCAAAAGAATAAGAGCTATTTATGACAAACCCATAGTTAGTATCATACTGAATGAGCACAAGCTTGAAGCATTCCCTTTGAAAACAGGCACAAGACAAGGATGCCCTCTCTTACCATGCAATTGGAAGTTCTGGCCAGGGCAATCAGGCAAGAGAAAGAAAGAAAGGGTATTCAAATATGAAGAAAGGAAGTCAAATTGTCTCTGTTTGCAGATGACATGATTCTATATTTAGAAAACCCTATTGTCTCAGCCCCAAAACACCTCAAACAGATAAGCAACTTCAACAAAATCACAGGATACAAAATCCATGTGCAAAAATCATGAGCATTCCTATACG